TTTGTTTATACCTAAAAAAATGTTGTTTTCTTTAACAATTATATGATAAGAACAAGCCAACCTGAATTTGCATAATTAAGGCGGAAGGTTCCTGCAGAAACCAATGTAACATCATCTTTTAATACAGAGACTTGATTCCTTTGTTTTAAATTCAAAACATCAAGTGATCATCTGCTTTTGATTTCATCGCTACCATGTCTCTTTTTTTATTAGGCACTCATAAAAAATAAAAAGAGTACTTCTTCAACTGTAACCACACCAGCTGTGAACTCATGTTTGCATCCAATCTTCACATTAAACAATAGTTGAAACAATTTGCAAGTTCAAAAAATCTCAACCATATTTTTTCCACTCTTATCTCCTTTAAAACTAATAACCATGAATTGTAGTATTGGAAAAACAAAGGGAAAAAAGTTTGGCAGAGATAAATTTACCCAAAAAAAGCATTGAATTTGCTAACAGGGTGGGTTTGTATCTATCTGGGGTTGATTAAACTCTAATCCTATGATTTATCAGATCAGGTGCTTACCCAGTCCTGTAGATGGAGCTCTTAAAGCTGGAAGGCTAGAGGAGGACTTATTCTCAATGATGATGGAGAACATTTTGTGATGGCAAGAATGTTACCTATGAATGTTTCTTCACATGTAGAAGTGGAGGCTTTTATCAGAGCAGAAACTTAATGGTAGATTGATCTAGATTGTAAACCCACCATTTTAGAAGTAGATGCTAAATGTCATCAGAGTCACCTTGGTCTATTAGAACCTTAGTTGCAGATGTAGAAGCTTAGAAGTAATCCTTTGAAATCTGATTAATTTTATCCCTGAGGGATGTAATCAAAATGGCCAAATCATTGCTAAACATTCCCTGCCAAGCCCTGATTTTTTTAAGTGATATCCTATTGAATGATATTTTAGGGAGTTTAATTAATGGAATTAGCCTGATGACTTTCACAAAAGAAAGGTTTATGTCTTTGGTTCTCTGTTTCCAGAACCATTTTTAGATGTTAATACATGTATAATAATAAGCCAATGGTTATAGACAATAGGGTGATGTCACATTGAATATAAACATTTTATGAAACAATACCAATACAAAACCCAATATTGCTCATAACACTTGTTCAATGTCCAATAAAACAAGTTTCATGTGCCAACCAGCTGGTTCGTAAGGTCTCCTACTGATTGTAGCAGAGACTTGAGATGGAATCCCGCCTGCACTTGGGTTGGGAATAGGCTATTCTGTTGTGTATAGATCATTACAAAAATATAAATTTATTATAAACATATTATATATATATATATATATGATTGTGATGGATGCAAACAAATTTGTTCTCACTCTGAATGAAAATACAGTTTATTAAATAAATTTGCTTTCATTTCCAATTCAAAAATGTATATCTTACAAATACCTGCAAAACTAGATCAGACTATAAATTCGTTTTGGTTCTGCTTCACAGTTTTACATTCTTACTAAACTCTACTTAGTCGATTCTCAGGGAGTATGTCTAAGTTTAGTACACATGAGACCTACATGTATACAGAACAATGGTGTGTTCATTTGTGATTGATTATGTAGCATTTAATACATAATATAATGAGACAAATAAACAGGCTCGTGAGCACCATGCTTAGGGGTGCAAGTTGGACTGGTTTGAAGTCAACCCTAACCCAACCTTAGTTGTGGAACCTTCAACTCGAAATTGGCTTCAAAGCTTACAAGACCGTGCTCACATTGTTAATTTGCACAGTCATTAGCAGCTTTGTATTGGGAATATCTTTCCATAAAAAAAAAAAAAAAAAAAACCATGCAAGTATGAAGATATTCCAATGCATGGTGTAAAAGGCTGTGCAAATGGTGTGAGCACTGAAGTCGATCTCCTTCGCATGCATTTGTTTTCAGTGTAAATGAGAATTATGGTAAACTTTACACCCTGGTTCAAATTTCGCTGAATTTGTTTTAGGTGTTGTTTTACATTGTAAATTAAGGTAAAACTTCGTTGTGGTGAATTTTACATCAAGAATCAATAGAAAGTTCCCACCAATAAAATCGATGTAAATCTCCATTGTATTATATTAGGTGTAGAACTCTGCAATGGTCAAATAGCCTCTGCTCGGTCATTATCTTTTCCGGGCAATTATTTCGCTAGAGAATGGCATCCTTTGAAGAGGAAATTATCCAAAGCGCCAATCCCATCTAACCCATGTTGTTCATTACCGCCAACCCCGTACCCACACTGCAAAGAAATGACACAAACAAGATCTAGAAATCCAAGGTCTTGATCACATCTAGGATCATGTGTTCTTCTCCGATTACAGGGGTGATGGTCTCATCTCCACTTCCCCATCTTCGCTTGCGGCTTCTGTTGCTGTGTCACTGTGTGATTCCATGAACCAACAACAGCTCCTTGATATGATTTTCAAGATCTCTGGATCTCGACTTTAGCCTTCAGTTCTGAAATGCAGAGTACAACTGGATTTTGATTTCTTTCTCTTGGGCAGAGCTGGAAGACGGTGGGACCTCACGGAGAAAGAGGATGCCGGTGAAATAGATTAGGGTGGAGAATAGAGCTAGAGATAGAGATAGATAGAGAGAGAGAGAGAGAGTCGTTCCTAAGATAATATTTTCTGAAGAGAAAATTATCCGTCAATGACACACTCGCTCCGGCATGACGTTGCCAGGATAGAAACAGTTAAAGCAGAAACATAATAGAAGCCTTTCACTTCTATTCTGTGTCAATTAAAGCCATTTTTGGTTCAATTCTCATTCTTACCTAAGATGAAATTCTAAAATGGAAAAGAATGAATAAAAATAGGCAGAATGAGAAAATATTGTTATGAATCAGAAGCTTTTTTCCTAAAATGGATTTTTTTTTTCAGATCGACAAGTGTTCTATGTTACTCATTTTCATTCATCAAATAAATTGTGCCGATATTCACAAACCGCCAGCCTAGGTCTCCAATAGTCAATGTTTATCAATTGGCATAAATATTTTGTAAAAGTGATTTTAAAAAGTACTTTCATAAAATGCTTTTATAAAAGTACTTTTGTAAAAGAGCTTTTATAAAAGTACTTTCATAAAAGTGATTTTGTACTTTCATAAAAGTGCTTTCATAAAAGTACTTTTGTTAAAGTGCTTTCATAAAAGTACTTTCCATTAAAGTGTTTTTATAAAATTGCCTTCGTAAAAGTACTTCCATAAAAGTGCTTTTATAAATGTGCTTTCGTAAAAGTACTTCCATAAAAGTGCTTTTATAAAAGTGCTTTCGTAAAAGTACTATAAAACTACTTTCATAAAAGTACTTCCATAAAAGTACTTTTGTAAAAAGTGCTTTTATAAAAGTACTTTTGTAAAAAGCATTTTCATAAAAGTGCTTCCATAAAAGTGCTTTTATAAAAGTACTTTCATAAAAGTTGTTTTATAAGTGCTTCTGTAAAAGGACTTCCATAAAAGTGCTTTTATAAAATACTTTCATAAAAATGCTTTAGTAATGTACTTTTATAAAAGTGCTTCTGTAAAAGTGATTTTATAAAAGTGCTTTCATAAAAGTACTTCCATAAAAGTACTTCTGCAAAAGTGTTTTTATAAAAGCGACTTCATAAAAGTACTTCCATAAAAGTGTTTTCGTAAAAGTACCTTCATAAAAGTGCTTTCATGTAAAAGTACTTTTATAAAAAGCTTTTGTAAAAATGCTTTCGCAAAAGTAAAACATCTATGGCAAATTGGCATAGTTTTATAGGTAGAGTTTCCTCAAAGAATGAAATGAGCAAGACGGGGCATGATTATTTTTCATGCCGCAAGTTAGTCAAATTTTGTACTATGGGGCTAATTTTTCATTCTAAAAAGAATGGGGCCCTCGACAAAAATTTTATAACCAAACACTGAAATGCTTCTCATTCTTGTCCATTGTTGGCCAAAATATTCTTACCTAGAATGAGCAAGAATTAAGAAAATAAAACTAAGAAGAATAAAACATGACCTAAATGTCATCTGTGTAAAAATTCAAATATACGCGATTTTATTTTCCATTGACATTGATTAGGCACCAACTTTTCAACGGTGTAAAAACTAAAACAAACGCAGCCATCAACTCTAATCCTTTTGAGTCAATCCAACTTTTATACTTTCTTTTACCATATGTTCTTATTTTCTTGACTCAAGGGTTAAGGCTATACATAATTGGGGTTTGGGTCGATCATATTGGCCAAAACCTCAACACTAACCAACTCGTAGTTAAATCAGGCTCAACATTAATCCAACCCAAGTTGCAGCACTAAGCAAGATAACAACATTTAGCGTCAGCAAGTGAGATGTTGAAGGCTTGCCTAATTTATTATTATTCCAACAATGTAATAGATTGACTTTTTATTATGTTCAGCGTCAGCAAGGGATACAATTGAGTGCTTTTAAGTGCGGAATATTATATTTCTTTTTTTTTTTAAAAAAAGTGAAATATTAATGCACATGGAATAGCCGCAAGGCACCGACATGGAATTCTAACTGGACGGTGGGATGCATGCATTCCCTGGGGCCTGGACCCCACCCTAAAGGGCTGAACTTCAACTCACAAAGTTGGTCAACACCCGTTCATTTGATTCCATCCAAACAGCCCCAACCCATCCCTCTCTCTCTCTCTCAGAGGAAAAAAGAGAGCACATAACAGATAAGAAGTTTTCGGTTCAGATCTGCTACCAAATGTCCCAGCATGTCACTGCAGCCGCACAGAGGGAACATCTCCCATGAACGAGAAAGAGAGATATTCCCAATATACGGCTGCAGTGTCTTGTTGGGACATTATTGGGTGGGAAGATATTATTGGTCCAGGCCAGAGAAAAGTTCATGGTAGGACCCATTGGACAGTAGGCCGCAGTTGTCGCTCCCGCTGCATGTCGTCACGAGCTGGGCGCAGGGAGAAGTCCAGAAGGGCATTTCCCCTCCCCTTCCCCTGTCCATGTCCATTCTTGACTTGGCTAGCTGTCTTGTTACTTTTACTGTTCTAAACTGCCCTTCCTTTTCCCAATAAATTACGCCTCTAACCAAGCAAATAAGAAGTAAAAGCTCCACCCTCAACCTCGATACCAATCCCAAGCGCCGATCAGTCAATCACCTATCCGGCATCAGCCATGGCAGCCGCGGCGGACATGGCTAAGCTAGCGGTCGTAGCTCTTCTCATCACCGCAGCTGCAGCTGCTGATACCACTACTCCACCGCCTTATACCAACCACACCGTCGGGGGAGATAACGGATGGTTCTTCAATCCCACTACCAACACCCCCGCCACCGATTACACCAAATGGGCCGCTACTCAGACCTTCAACCTCGGAGACTATCTCAGTAAGTAACCTAATCTCTCTCTCTCTCTCAGCTGATAAGTGGGGTGATAGCTCTTAACTTAATTCTTTGAATATAGTTTTCAACACCAACTCAAATCAGACGATCATCGAGACCTACAACCAGACGACGTACAAAAACTGCAATAGCACCGATGCATTGGACAGCGACACGTTTATCTACGGCGAATCCAATAGGATCGGGGAGTCGTTCACGGTGGCCGTGCCGCTTGTGAAAGTGGGCAACACCTATTATTTCTCAGATGCGGAAAATGGTGTGCAATGCCAAAAGGGAATGGGGTTCGCGATCGTGGTGGGTCAAGGGCGGGGCCTACCTCCCAGTCTCAACCAGCCGCCTCCTCCGCCCTACGCCGAGCCTCCGGTCGCCGATTCTTCGCAAACTCCTCCTTCCACGGTTTCCACCGGCCAGCAAGAGAGGTTCTACAATAGTGGGTTCAGGATCAGGAACGGTGCTAACTTGCGCATTGGGCTGTTGGTCATTCTTTCCTTTGGGCTTTTGCTCGCCTGATCATCTTCACCAAATACATTTGATTGATTTCATAGTTATTAATCGTTTTCCTTCATTGTGAAGAAAACACAGAAAGAATCATTTCTTTTCTTCAGATCAGGTTTCTGCAATACTTGTTTGTTTTTCCTTTTCTTTTGCTAATATAAAACGCATTTACAATATTCGTGTGGCCAAACGGAACCGGTGGTGAAGAGCTGCACTGCTTCCAAACTGAGCCTTAGCACTTTCCAAGGCCAAGGGGTCCCATAATTGAAGGAATAAGCTATTCGATCTCTCTCCAATCTCAATCAAAAGTCAAAACACTAACAGACTAGACTTCACTCTTCAGAGTTCAGACTTCAGACCATAATTGTTAATCTTGCAAAGCTAATGAGTGAGGACCATGGGATGCTGGGTGAGTTCGGGACTGTAATTGTTAAGTTCTTTAAGTTATTAAATTTCGTAAACTTTTACAATTTTGGACCCTTGATTTGTGGTGAAAATTTTAAAATTAGGGGTCAAAAACTGAAATTTTGACAAAATTTAATTGCTTTTATTAATACTTTATTTATAGTATTTTCTACTATTTTAGTTTTGAATTATAAACTATTCTGATAGTCTGAAATTTAAACAAAATAAAGGGTCCAAATCCAAGATCCACAACAAAATTTTTAGTTTAATCAAGTAATGCTATTTAATATTGAAATCTAATATGAGTACGATCGGAATCCGATAAATGATTTTTTTTTATTTATTTTTTGGACGAGACCCTAGTACCTTAGGTCAATTCCCTTGCAACATAAATGGAAAAATACAAGATGGTGGATCACCAATTGTGAGCATCAATTTGGCCAGCCTAGACAGACAAGCGCATGAAGTGTAGATCAAATCATAGGGATCCAAAAGCTAGAAGAAAAAAAAAATCGAGTACAAAATTTGTACAAATTAAAACAAGAAAATTATGAACAAATCAAATATCATTTCGGTTTTAATATCGGGCAATAGGTCAACCAAACTGAATAGATTTAATAAAAAAGCCGAAAAGCATAATTTGTAAAAGCAAACTCTTAAAATGTTCACAATTTATTGTTTTTTTGTTTTTACCATCTTAAGATTTTCTTATATCTATATATTTTTAAGTCATTTATTGTTTTTTTAATTTTTGTGTAAAAAAATAAATAAAACTACTATGGCACTGGCAGATAAATTACTGGGTGGCCCGGAAAAGGCTTATCTCATGGAGGGTGAAACTTGGGCAGGTCGGGCTTAGTTGTAACTCAAGCCCAACTAAACTTGGGACTACGTAGCCCAACTTTCTAGTCAAATTCTTCTACCCCAGTGCACAACTGAGTTATTTATTTATTTATTTTGGTAAAACAACTGAGGTTGAATTAGGGTGGGTCGGATTGATTTGGGTTGGATTTAGCTTCCGGTGAGAGGTCATATAAATAAGTAGTTACTGAGAAAACTTGAATTTTCTTATAGTTTGTTTGACATCTTAAGTTTAAACGTCTCTTTCTTGCAGCCAAAAAATAAAAAACTTAAAAACTTTATGAAGTAAAATCGGATGTTTTTAATCAAGATTTTAAATTTCAGCCATTTCAAACCCTTGGTCTGTTGACAAGTTTCTTAAAATTTTGGATTTTTCAAAAAATTATAATAATTTTTATTAATATATTATCGTCTTTTATGCTTGTATATATTACTGATTTTTATTACATTAAAAATTAAAAATTATGCCTGAAGCTTTAGGTCAAATAAATGGTCAAAATCCCCAAATTTTTCCAATAATAAATGCAGCCAATATTCTAATTTTTTACCTTGCTGATTAGGGGTGCCAATAAAAACTGAAAAACCCAACCGATCCAAGGAAATCTATTTGTAATATATAATATATTTATAGCATTTATAATATTTGTATATTTATTCATAATAATTATAAATATAAAAAACCAAAATATTGAAGAATCAAACCATAATCGGTAAGCTGTTAGCTGACCAAGGACACATCTAATTGGGCCCCATCGAATTGAGGATCGAGCTGTACGCCTACACAGAACATGGCATAGGTGTTCAGTTATGAGAGTCCTCATTCAAGTTGCATCCTTTCAACCAAGTCCACGTGTTCCAGTCCAGATCTCAGATCCCATGGGTCTGTACGTTTGTACTTGGCAGGCATTTTCTCTTCTAACTTAAACTCTTTGACTTCAGTGCCATTTAGGCATTTTGAATTTAAATTGAGTTCAAATCAAGCCCCAACAAGATGGTTTCCCATAACATCCCATCCCACAGTACATCTCCGCCATCTATTGAAAATATCTCCTGACAATAATATTAGAAATGATGAGGCATCATAATACACGGCAGGAATGTGCTGTGGGATTTTGTGGGAAACTATCTTGTGGGAGGCTGATTTCAATTTTTTAAACTTCAGTTAAAACAGTCCTCCATGCCATGTAGCCATTGACATAACACAATATGTTCCCATACCAAGTATGTCGTGCGATATACATGATTCATTGGATACATACTCAATTGTGGCATATCTGATATTGGGAGTATCGTATGGATACTTTATACCTTAGCAATGCCTATATCAAACACAATAATGCTCCAAATACTTGTTCATCTAATCAACAATAAATGCCAACCAAACAAGTTTCATGTCAAAACACTTGTGATGGCATTTTGACATCAAATGTCATTTCCTTTCTAAATGTTTGAGCATGAAATGGTGGTGGTACCAAACACAACCTTTATGACACGTCATTTATTGCTTACATTTAGATCTATTCACGGACTGGGCTTTGGGCCTAACTTTACACTATGTTGGACTTGGGTTTCAGATTGGGCCCATTCAAATTTTGGCAAAAGCCAATCCCGATCCCGACCCTTGAACAGGTCTATTACATTGTTGATACCAGTTTAACAAATGATTCCATTGCTTTTCACTAAGAAGGTGTTTGGTATTAGAGTCATTTTTCCAAAGCCTTTCCACCATGTCAGTGCCATACAGGCATTTCGCTCTCTCCCTCACTTTTTCTTCTTTGGTTGAGTGTTTTCAAATCGTTTCAAGCAATATTAAATGTCTTGGATTTCACGAGAGCAACTTTTGGAGAAAACATCATATTAATATTTCTTGTAATTGAAACAGCATTTTCACCTTTTTGCCTATGTGGTGTTTTTTTGTTTTTGTTTTTTTGTTTTTGCTATTAATCACTGCCCGACACACCTTTAGGAGTCATTACTCTTTTAAGTGAACAGCACAACACCACATCAACAGCTCTTTTTTTTTTTTTCATAAAGATGATGATAGTGAAATTCGAAATCGCACCACCACTGAGACAATTCATACAACGCACCAATTTAGCTACCCCTCAATTGGTTTTTGCTTATGGTGTCAAGTAAAAAATATGCACAAAATCTATTGAATCCTGAGGTTTAGTTGTTGTTTACAACAACAATGATACCAAACATCCCCTAAAAAATACGACCCCCTGTAGATGCATCAACAAGCAACATTTCCCGTGTGTTCCATATTTTCCCATTTCCTTTTCCTACCTTTTCTTTCAAACCAACATAACTTAATATTGACATATCGAAACAATTTAAGTAAAGATGATTGGGCATCTCAAGGGTCAGGGATCCTCATCCTTTGTATTTTCTCTTAAAAATAAAACAAACCCCATTATTGATGCATGACCAAGTAGCAAATTTGAAGTCACTAAGGAGACCAAAACAATTTCAGTGCCCATTTGGGAGGGCTTTGTAGATGTGGCTTATGGTGTTATGAGCTCGGCCCCACATAAAAACCTCTGAAGCTGTGTTTGGTGAAAATCCGTAAAGCCAACATGGACATTTCAAATGCTAGAATCGTGATTGTAATATGAAGCTACTCTAAGTAACTTATTTGAGCATATGTGCTCAATCAAATAGCAACTTATTAACACAACTTGCCCCAAATGTAGAAGCTGTCTCAAGTGGGGCCTCAATGAAAACAATCGTCGACCTGTTCGACCCAGGCAGCAGTTCACTGTTTAATAAAAAAGTGAGGTTGAAAGATGGAGAGGGACTCTCATATCAGAATTCAGAGATCACTGATATCCAAAGAGAAGGAGAGAGAGAAGCCAGAAAAAGGATTGGAGAAGGGATCTCAGAGAGAGAGAAGAAGAAGAAGAAGAATGGACGTCGACTTGCTATTGCGCTTTTATTGTTGCTGCCATCTTCGTCATCGCCACCACCAGTGAATGCTGGATCCTCTTCCTTCCTTTCCTTTATTTTCCTTTCTCTCCTTCCTTTTTCTTTCTTATTTTTCTTTACCTCCGTCTCAGCCTCTCTTCTCATAAAAGAAAAACAACCACAAATATTTGCCCTAATCTAATCAAACTGTCTGAACTGTTTGACCCGAATGGTCGAATTGCTGACCCAAGAACCGGTGGTCACAATGAATCCGTTTCCAGGTTGATTTTTAAAATCTTGTAAAAAAGAGTTAGAAATACAAATAATAAAATAAATTAAACAAAGAGTGGAGGCCCCCTAAATAACAGCAGTAAGTTACTCCACCAATCATATAAAAGCTATTATTCCTGTTGTTGAACAAATTAAAGATACATACAACCTATTGTAAAAAGAATCGAAGGTTTTTGTATCAAAATCAAAAAAAAAAAAAAAAAGAAAAAGAATCAAAAGGTTAAAGTAGAAAGGAAAGCCAAAGCTGAAGGCTGAAATATATTACAATCTTTTCCTTCCTTCGCCTGCAATTTTAATTCAGAGGTCTTTTGGAATAGAGTAGGTAGCCTCGTCCATTTCTAATTTCTGTCATCTTAATTGATTGTGTGGTGAAGAAAACATTATCATAATTAACCTTTTTTTATTTATTTTACTTGTTTGATAATGAAAATATAAATTCAACTACTGTGCATTCATTAATATTATTGCTGAATGTTAAATTCAAATATCAACCAGTTTAGTTAATTTTCATTGGTCAAGTTTTTTAAATTGTATTTATATATTTAATAAATAATCTTTGCCATCTCGATCAACCAATCATCTTTGCTGTAGGACGAGTGGATGCACAATAGATTTTGCCTCAGAAAATACCTTCGATTTCAAATGCCTCAGAAAATACATACAAAATACAAGATTTTACATTTTACAAATTTCCATTTATACTCCTGCCAAA